CTTGTATGCCTTCTCTGATGCAGATTATAGAGGATGCAAAATAGATAGGAAAAGTACCTCCGATACTTGCCAATTCCAAGGAAATATGTTGATTTCATGGTTTTTAAAGAAACAAAATTGTGTTGCATTATCTACCACTGAAGTAGAATACATTTCAGTCGGTACTTGTTGTGCACAAGTTTTATGGATGAAACAACAACTTTTAGATTATGAAATTGAAGTAGGTACCATACCTATCAAGTGTGACAATACTAGTGCTATTTGTCTTACTAAAAATCCCATCCAACACTCTAGAACTAAGCACATTGAAATTAGACATAATTTCATTAGAGATCATATCGCTAAAGAATATGTAGTTCTAGAATTTGTTGATACTTTGCATCAATTAGCGGATATTTTTACAAAACCTTTAGATAAAGAAAGATTTTGGACACTTAGGAGAGAATTAGGTTTAACTGAACTATATTCACTTAGTGTTTAAAATAAGTTTAGCACTTTTAAATGAAAAATGCTTATAATATTTTTTTTATTGCATTCTGTTATATTAGTTAGGGGAGTTTATGATTCTTAGTGAAAATTAATTATATGTTCAAATTATGTTTAAGGATAGATTTGATTAATTGAACATAGTTAATTTTCTTAATATGAGTTGCCAATACCACTAGAGAAAATTAATTTAGCATTTTGAGTGTTTAAATACAAATTTTTAACTTTTCTGTGCGCTAGGTATCGATACCCCCTTTGAATGGGTACCGAAACCCTCTTTGAATGGGTACCGATACCTCCCCTGAGGGTACCTATACCCCCTTCAGGTTCTGGTTACAAAACTCCCAAAAACCCCATTTTTGTTAAAACCCTCTATTATTCTCTCTCACACCGTACGCCCCTTTTCTCACCCCTAATCTCTACATTGTCTAAAAATTATCGTTTCAAGTCAGATTTCACTCAGTTTTCAATGTCTAAACCTGCTAGCATCATTAATTTCGTGCAAACAACATCAAAATCCACTCAATCTTCAAATTTCAAGGTAAATTTTTTAAAAACTCTGTTTTATTGATTTTTGAACTTAGGACTAGTTTTGGTTTGTTCTATGTTGAACTATATATCGAGCTTTGATTATATAATGTTTCTAAACTAGATTCTACAACTAATTTCATCAAAAACACAAGATTTGATCAAATTTTGTTAATTTTTGAAATATAAAAAAAATGATATTGTTTTTCAAATTGTTGTGTTTTGGTTTAATTTTGTTATCTTTGAAAACTATATATTGATTTTCAAACATTGTTTTCAAACATAGTTTTTCAAAATTTTCCCATTAGGATTATTTTAGAGAACCTTGAAATATTGAGGACTCATTTGAGTTTTGGGAATGGATTGTATTGCATACATATGTTTTAAATTTGCAGGTTACTCTTCTGATTTCTTAATCATGTCTCAAAAACGCCCTAGGACATACTCTAGTCGTTCAAACCAACTACCTAACCCACCTCCTATTCAACAAATTCTTAATCCTGATGATCCTGATATGACTATTCGTAATTTGTGCTTTAACAAACCTGGTTGTAGACAAAATCTTTTCTTTAAGTATTCTCAGTATTTTGAGTCATACAAAATCCGGGAAGAATATATTCCTTCTCTTAGAGATATGGAAGCAATAAACTTTAGATATTTTCATACTCTTCAAGATTGGAAATTTGATAAACTTTTTCATCTCGAACCAGTAGTTTACCAACAACTTGTTCGAATTTTCTATTCAAATGTCGTTTGTATTCAAAACCGAACTAGAACCGAAACAATAGGAATTCGATCCTATCTTCTGGGTCGATTCATCTATATTGATTCCCAGTACATTGCTAACACATTTGGATTAGATAATGATGGCTTAGATAATGAAAAAGAAACAGTAGGTTCTCCTTACAAGGTCAAGTCTAGTGCGAGTGTGTTAGATCACCAAGATCATTTTCTTTATCTGATGATCTCTTGGTGGTTTAGACCATCCGGAGGCAAATACTCCACTTTTAGAGCCTTAGACCTTTGGTGGATACATTGTATCCATAATAATAGGAAAATAAACCTACCCCAAATTATCTTTTCCAAACTCGTTGAAACTGTCAACCTTGTTGCTAATAAGAAAGTTTGTGAAACTCTAGTATACGGTTGTCTATTGAGTAATTCAACTTGACTTCTTTAAAGAAATCGGGATAAACATTGGATAAGGAAACTAATCAATGGATTCGAACAACTGAGAAAACTCTGGGAGCTAGTTCTTCACGAGCTCCACCTCCTCCGGCACCGATAACAGACTATGATTCAGAGCTTCAACAACTAATGCAAGATATTGACGATATTGATGATGAAGCACCCGAGGACGTTCCAGTACAACAAGAGGATCAAGTGTCTCCATACTTTAGATCATTTTTAGAGACATTTGATCTTAGGATTGCATCCATAGAGTCCCATTTAACTGCTATGGGGGCTCAAAAATGGGAGATGAACGAACGATTAGATGCTCTCACACTCGAGATGCGAGCACGTTGTCATCCTCCTCCCGATCCTCTTATGGATTAGACCCTGCCTTGCTTTAGTTTTCTTGGTTTGATTTAGAACTTATTGTTAAACATTTTAATGTTTTTGGATTTGTTTGTTATGGATGATATGGATGTTTGGACTTAATATATATATATTTGATTTGTTTGAATTTTTTTTGATTTGATTTTAAGTTTTGCATCATTTACATCATATTAGAATATGACCAATTACCATTGCATATTATTAATGAATATTGATTTATGAAACTATTGGCTAACCTTTCTCTTAATTGTGTTCTTAGTAGCTTAAGTTTTAAATTTCTAAATATCAAATGGCTAAGTTTTTCAAAAACCTTGTTTAAAAACGTTTTAGAGTCTTTTTGATTTAACAAAAAGGGGGAGAAGTGGTGTTATAGTAAGGGGGAGTATTTTTTCAAAAACCGACTTCAAAAATGATTTTCAACAAGAAAATCTTAAACTTACTAAAATGTTGTTATATCAAAAAGGGGGAGATTGTTGAAAACATTTTGATGTTTCGATATAACATATTAAGTGTTATTGGTTTTTAAGATTTTATAATCATTTTTGAAAATACATTCGATTAAATTATTCAAATATCAACATATTACTCCAAGATTTACAAATATCAATTTCAATCCTTACTTAAGTGTAAAATTATGTTTTAATCTTTTTGAAACAAATTTTACAAAGTGTTTCGATCCTTAATTGAGTCAAAAATATTTTATTTATAAAAGGGCTTCAAGAAAAACCAGATTGCCCAGAGGGTACCGATACCCCCCTCATAAGGTACAGATACCCCCATGCAAGTTTTGGCTCCGAGAAAACAGAATGCTCTAAGGGTACCGATACCACAGAGGTACTGATACCCCTAGTCTATTAACAGTTGAAATATTTGAATTTTACACTGCATGTACCAATACCCTATGGATGGGGTAATGATACCCTCATGCTCCCAACCAGAATTTTAAATGATAATTACTCATTAACGGCTCTATTAACTTCACCAATGATCTCCAACGTTCAAAATTGATCCAAGGAGTATATAAACAAGTTAGGAGTCATTGATCAACAACAATTAAGAAGAATTGAGAAAGCATCAAAGAGAAAGCATCAAACCCAAGTTTGAGCATTTTCAAGCCTATTTTTCATCACATATTTATTTTTTCTTTCAAGAACACTTATTGTGCTCAATTGTATTATTCTTGAGTGTTCTTTCTTTGTTCTAGAATTGTGCAAACATCTTGCATTGTGAGGTTTTTCTGTAAGTTTGCGAAATTTGTATTTTGAGGTATAATTCTTGAGGGATTTGTAAGGTTACTCTTTGTCCTCAAAAGAAAGATAAAAAGAAAGATAAATTAGTGAATTTGTGGAAAATCTTTAGTGTGGATAGCTATGGTCGTGGACGTAGATTTTAGTTGAGAAAGTCGAACCACTCTAAATCGCTTTGCAATTATTTTCTATTTTATACAAAAGCTTTTACCAAAATTTTTATTGCCAATTCACCCCCTCTTGGCTTCTTCGTCGATCGATTAGCTCAACAGGCATGAGAAAGTGTTAAATGGTAATTGGTAGACATAATTGTCTTGTGTAATTTCATGCAAAAACAAAAAAAAAATCGAGTTATAAAATAATTTGCAAAAACATATTTAAAGATTTTAATAGAGAGTTTTTTGCAAAAAAAATATGAAAGGAAGTTGACTTTTTTACATAAATATCACCTTAACATAAATTAATTACCTATCAGACACTATTTTATAAAATATTATAGATCTAACACCCGTTCCAAAAAAACGCGGCTCATGCCGTGAAATATATTTGAAATGGTGTCTCACATGTAAATATATAACAAAAAGATGATTTATGAATAAAATCGCCGAAGACTCGTGTCTAAATTTGGGTAGCACGGAACTTGCCTCAGAAAATAAAGAATTTGAATAACACAACTGTAGTACAAATTCAGATGCAAAAGTGTTTCAGGAAATGAATTGTACGATTTGTTTTACATGTCTACAATCTAGGAATATATTTGACAAAAGGAGACGTTCACTTACTGCTAAAGCCAAGCTAACATTGTTATATTCTCACACCCACTGTACTTTGGTAACAAATGCATCATAAGCCTGGTTTCTGTATGCCGAAAATATGATAATAGAATTGAAATCAGGATCAGGCGCCTACCTTGTTTTCATTTTGATGGTATTTAACATCTTGATCTTGATGGTTGGCTCCTTGAATACGATGACGATAACACCTGCAACACTAAGAAACATCACACGTCTTCTTTTTACACTTTTACCATACCCTACTGTAAATTCTACAAGTAAACAAGCCCTTATTCAGTTTTGTATTTCACATTCTATTCAAGATTTTACTAGTATAGTACCATTCTATTCACAGATATGGAGAAGCAATCTTTCTGCTGCAACTCTGATTGCTTGTCTAGAGCACTTAGAACCGCTTTGCTTCTTTTTGTTGACTCATTCCCCCACTCCGACCAAAATCCACAAATCCATGCTCATCAACCAAAGAAATTCATTAAGTTAATATCCGGAAAAAGCACATTTGATTACATTAGGGGGTTTGTAATAATAAACAGAACAGGTCTCTTAAATAATTGGAGATCCTAATTCAATCCACAAGATCCATTTCAAGCCAGCAAATTCGAGTCTGATGGAAGAACTCTTTTCTACCTAGAATTGGCCAAGTACTTCAACGTTCACGGCGTTGGAGAGCTCGGTTTGTGAATCCGACTGTTGAGAAGGAAGAGAAGATGACGTAGAATAACATATCTAAAAATGGCGGCGATCCAACGGCGGACAACAGCGGATCAGAGAGAGAAAACTGAACGGTCTTTGGTTATTTCACGACAAACGGCGCCTCTTCTCACAAAACAGACCATGGATATCCGAGACGGGGAGGCCGAGACGGATCTTCGGGGGAAATCTGGTGGTCAACGACCACCGTTGATGGCGGTCGACGGCGAACGACACGATGGACGGCGAGTGGTAAGCTACCGACGATCACCGATTTTCTAGAGAGGACCTCTCTCTCTCAAATCTATTTTAATTGAAAAAATGAAGAAAAAAAAGTTGATATTTATATAAAACTTTAGGGGGAAATTGCACTTAGGTCCCCCTAAGTTTGGCTTGTTTTTGCAAAATGGTCACCTGAAGGGATCGTTTTTATAAATATATTTTTGGTTTTATTATTGTTTAGTCCCTATATATTAGGCATGTTTTACATTTTAGTCCCTGAATCCTTAAGTTTTATTTATTTTTTTAGCACTTTAGTTTTATTACTTTCAATTTAGTCACTAACATGTTATATTTTCTATTATATTTTCTGTAATTTTGGCATTTTACTTTCTGTTTCTTTTGTTTTAGTCACTAAGTTTGACTTTGTGTTGAGTTTGATTTTATTTCCAGTTTAATCCCCTATGTTTTGACTATAGTAAGTTTTGGTCTTGTAATTATTACATAATAGGGTCTGTAATTTATTTTTATTATGTTTTGATAGTAATGTAATATGATATTTGTATATTAGCCATGACTTGTTATATGTTTATTATTATACCTCTAAAATTTGTTGTTCTTGCTATTTAGTCCTTATTTAATATATATATGATTGAATTTTTTTATTTGTATTCTAATTCATCATGTTTGTAAATGATCACTTATGTCGCTAATATGTATGCATGAGTATATATGATGTTAATATTTAACCTTACATATTTATGTATATATTTGTTAATTATTATAAATACTTATTTATTAACTAAATTTTACTCGAATGTTTTCCAAGAACAACGATTTGTAGAATGGGCATGGAAAGCATCACTTGATCGAAGTGGTGTAATCTGATACGACATTCGAACAAAATGTGAACTTGAAATAAAATTGATTTTATTTTGCTAATTAATTTTTTTATTTTAAGTTGAACAATGCAATGCATGTTGCTAAATGGCGATTTATTTTATGCCAAAACATCGATTTTCCATTCATATTCGATTCACGTTTTTTAAATTAATGATGAGGAAATATTCTTTTACTGATAAGAAATAGACAATATAGCTTTCTTGACGGAGGATTGCTAATTTAGAGGTTTCTTTTCGAGTTAAAGAATTTTCGCAAACAATAAATAATTCGAAGCATCTCAATAAATATATTATATTTTAACTTTATATTCAATTCATAATTTCCACCATTTACAACAAAGTGTAAGCGACACAGTACCAATTTTGGGCGCTGTGGGGGTGCTAATCCTTCCCCACGCGTAACCGACTCCTGGACCCATTAAATTAGATTTTTGGTATACACAGACCAGCTTTTGTCTTAAAAACGATTTTTCCTTAAAATTATTTTAAAAGACGTTTTTAGGTATTCAGCTTACCTAACCTAAAGGTCGATGGTAACTCATTTTCCATTTTATTCAAATCAATTCCAAATCATCAATTTTTCAAAATTAAAGTCATAATTGTTTTTAAAGTAATATTTAATTGTTTTTCCAAAAAAATGGTTATGACAGCTTGGCGACTCTGCTGGGGATGTTTTCTAGAGAATCATATTGTAAGTCGCTTACACATTGTAGCTATGGTGGAAATTATGGGTTCGAGTCTATAGTTAGCATATGATCCATTTATTGAAATTTTTAATTTCTGTATTTTTATCGTACTAATGTTTTAATGTATTTTTCAGCTTTGTTAAGGTTTTTGTCAAGTTTTTTTGTTTTCCTTTTGAGTCAAAGGTTTGTATGCTCCTCCTCACACACATCATGTGCATTTGCATGACATAAGCTCTAGACCCGAGCTTCGATCCAAATTAGTTGGGGTGAATGCTTTACTCTCGTAAGAATTTATTCTTCATATTAGTTTTAGTAAGTAACCCATGGGATACGTACCTCAAACCTTCGTAGGGATTTATTCCTCGTATGGTATAAGGAAGTGAATCCCCACGAATTAAACTCGTTCAGTTTGAAACCTGTAATGGGTGAGGATAGAGGGTTTGGCAGCCCAAGGGGGCACCGACATTAAGGAAATTCGAGTATCCTTTTCTTATTAGAGTCGAAATAATGCATATAGTGAACCGTAGAACGGTCACCTAGGTATATACATACCAAACTTTTGTGCGTCAGTAGGTACCCATAATTAGGTGTACACAAAGGAGGAGCGTTTCTAAAACTTTACCTTTTTGCTTTAAGTTCGTAGAATATATTTGTTCTTTTCGAATGAAAGCATGTGAACTAGATATCATGCGGTTAGGATTGTTTTCTTGAAAATTAATCATTTTGGGTTGAAAACATGTCTGGTAGGATTGCTATCTATTGAAAGCATGTTCGGGTAGATATCATGACTGGTAGGTGTTATATTTACCTATAAATAGCATCTTTTAAATTCTATTGATTATCTTACTTATACTAACTTATTTCTTTTCTTTTGTTTGTGTCATTTTTCATCCTTCTTTGCATTGCATTGCATTGCATCGTCATGACATAATGAAAAAAATATTGATCCGCAAGGGGATACTTAAGTGAAAATTTTCTCAAGAAGAGATAAAAGTTTTCAATCAAGCAGTCGCATATACAGACATGCATTGAAGGCTAAAAGAAGTTCAGAGTACCAGAATGATACTTGCTCGAAGATCGCGCAACATTCGAGCTTAAAGAGATGATCCTTTGATCCAATAAGTAATCCAACAGTAGATTCTCATCTACGATTATTCCATTGCTAGTCATCAAGGAGCGACGCATTGACTTCAGCACCACCGGCCATTAACGGAGTCAGATTACAAAGCATTTGAGGGGCATCATTTTCAAGGATGAAGATCCGAGACAAAGTAGTGATCCACTTCAGACTCAACATCTAAGCGAAGGCATATCTGTTAAGTGGATTGTCTTGTAATGTGAAGGCTTTTATCTCTGTTGAAAATTGTTATACGATATTCATTGTTAGGATCAATATTTTTGCATCTTTACATTTTGCATCTGCATTTCATTCATTCAATCATTTTCTCATGCATCACTTATAAAAACATGGAATTAATTCATGGAGGATTCGATGAAGTGGTCTTGATCACGTGACGACATTCAGAATAGAAGAAATATTCGAACAATTAAAAGAAGAAGCTGAAGTCAGTACGGTGGAAGCTTGTTAAGCTGGTTGTAGGGTTGATCCTTCCGGATGATCTGAGAAAATAGTCCCATATCCTGAGGGCTACGATGTTGATCTCGTGTACAACTACCACATAGGAAGCTTCATACATTCCACTGAGAACTGTAAGGCACTGAAGTGCAAGATCCAGAACCTGATGGATTCAGGGGCATAGACAATCGAAGAATGATGGGGGAATTGCATCTACCACTTGCATTGAGAGCATTGTTTTGTTTGAACTTGTTTTTGTTATGTCTTTCATATTTGCTTAATCTTTTAATGATTGAACTTATGATACCTTCTAAGGTTGAATAATTAAACGAGTTTTAATCTTTAGTTATTCAAATATAAAATGAATTACGGATTCTCTTAATTCTTCAAGAATTATGGATTTTTGACATATGGAAAGATTAGACCTTTCTTATTATGTCTAAAACCAAAAATAAAACCTCCCGATTCTTTACCAGAATAATTCATGGTCGCTAACAATACCAAATTTTGACATTACATCTCTTTGAGACTTTGAAACATTGCCTTTATCTTTTTCGAGACACAAAAAATCATACCCTTACCATTCGTTGAGCCAATAAAGTCACACCATCGTCTTTTTAGACGCAAAACCGACATTTTCTAGCGATAAAACCTAAAAGCATTGAGTACAAGATGTTCACTTGAACATGAACCTTCCTACAAAAAGACACAACGTGGGGCATCTCACATCAATTATTGAGGATGAACCTGAGCAATTGAGACATGCTGAAAGCAAAAAACAGAAGAAAAAAAGGGATTAATTCAAAATAATTCTATCATGCATTGAGTACATTGTTTTCATGTGAGTAAAAATTAATTCTGAAAATCTATCCCCTTGGGGATACCTCTTCTGCAAGGACGTCTGTGTATGAAATGATGAACAAATTTCTTTCATTATCACAAAAGGAGATAATATATCCCTTGTGTCCCCTTTAAGCCTAAATTATGTTTTCTTCTGATTCAACCCTAACCAAGGATCACCCTCCACACTAGAGGGAAACGTGGAGGAAATATGTTCGCATGAGTGAAGACATCAATCCAGATAAGATACCGAAAGGTGAACCAAATAAAAAGAAGAAAAGAAAAGAGCAAAGAGAAGAAAGAAAACGAAAAAGCTAAGAAAAAAAAGTTAAGAAGCACATGCAAATAATCCCTCGAGTCAAATGACGCACCGAGCTTCAAACAATAAGATTGATCAAGCACAATCATTCTAGAATTAATTCACCAGAAGATCATAAAGGACACATACGACCAAATCCAAATTAAGAGAGACAAGATTGAAAGCATCAAAATGAATTGATCGTTGGTTCAATTACCTGCAAACACTTCTTTGGGCCTATTTATCCCTTTCTTTCGTAATTGTGAACCATGGCCTACATTACTTGCCTAAAAAGTCCCTTCTAATCATACATGGATTTCTAAACAGAAGAGACTATCTTTAAATTTTATCCCACTCATCATGATTAATATTTTATTTACAAAAAAAGTTTTCTAAAATCTTTAATGCATGATAGAGAATAAATAACAAAGGGTTCAAGACGTAAATTCTGAATAACGTCTTGAAACCAAAGGATAATTTGAGTTGAAAACCTAAAAAAACGGTTGGAATATAAAGATGGTGCAACTATTATATAGGAGGCGATCTCACAAATCCCTTGATAAGGCATCGCACAACCCGAATGAGATCATGAGAGCTGGGAGTCAGATAACACTTCCAATAGATGAGTATAGAAGATACTCCATCAGACTAATGAATATCAAAGAAATAAGAATTTTAAGCCTTTAACCAAAAATAACAACCTGATACATTTTATCCTCTCCTTACTTGACTATACCTCAAAGATAGCATTGATCTTGACACTTGTGAAATAGCTATAATTTATTGAAGGATTAAAAGTGTAATTAATTTTTTGATATCTAATGAACTCTTGTTTTATGATTTGTCACAATTGTGAAACCTACAAAGGGGTAATATTTTTCAAACTTTTGATTAAACACTTTTCAACATCCTTTTAATTGATATTTTTCATACTCTTGAAAATAAAAGAAGAAGAAAAACGTTTTTCAAACAAGACAATCTCTCTGGAGTGGATCTTGGTAATTAACATGTGGCTCTCAGACACAAAGTTCATGCTTAGAATCTGTGCTAAAGCAAGAAACATCGAATGTCGGGGCATCTTTGGAGATTCAACATCATGAAGTGAACGATCAGATCTTATGAAGGTCTTTCCTCCACATGCAGAAACAAGCAGACTATCGATCGCCTTTGAGATTGTTTCTCTCGAAACAGAGTGTCGTCTCGCTTGAGACAAGTTTTCTTAAAAACAAATTTTGTCTCGCTTGAGACAATTTCTCTCAAAATAAATTTCGTCTCACTTGAGATAGTTTTGCTTGAAACAAAAGCCTTTGAGTCGTTTCCCTTGAAACAAATTTTGTCTCTCTTGAGACAATATCTCTTGAGACAGTCTCTCTTGAGACGTCATCCCTAAAGATGGTTTATCATCCTCATCGCGTAGGAACCGTATCATCCCCCAACCAGACCTCCTTATCATGTAGGAGCTGTGTCAACCTTAGATAACCAGTCGTCCTCATCACGTAGGAACCGTGTTATCATCCCTAAAGATGGCATGCCTTCCTCATCACGTAGGAATAGTGTCATCCCCTGAGCAGACTTCCTCATCACGTAGGAGCCATGTCACCCCTAGATAACCAACCGTCCTCATCGCGTATGAACCGTGTCATCCACCGACTAGATCTCCTCATCACGTAGGAGTCGTGTTACCCTTAGACGACCAGAACTCTTCATCACGTATAAGCAGTGTCGTTCCCAACAACAAAAATATCCAATTTCAAAAACAAATAGAGATTCGGACAAAAACTTGTATTCTTTTCGTCTTTGCCCTATTCTTATTAACACAAGAATGTGCAAAGAAGAGCAGCTGTAGACACCCGTTTTTGTCCGGTTCTCATTTTATTATTATTATTATTATTATTATTATTATTATTATTATTATTAATTTACATTTTACATGTTTATAGGCCCTTAACTAGCCCAATTTCAAGCAAGCCCCAGCCAGCCCAGTTACAAGTCAATTTGGCCCAAACTCGGAGCCCAACAGACCCAACCCGGTTTAGTCCCATACCATCCCTGATGTTTCCAGTCACCATACCCGTACCATTGCCCTGTCATCAGTTGCTGCTACTGTATCCCGTGCCCATACCTCCACGCCAGCAGCAAGGTTGGCCTCTCATCTAGAGCATGGTACCATCAAACACATCAATAGAAATCAGCAAAGTTTTTTTGTTTTTAAGTTTTTAAGGGTATATAACCCAGGGAAAAAACAAAATGTAAAAACAAAAACAATTATCAGCAATAACAAAAAGTTGAAACCAATTTCTTTTAATTTTTTCCTTATTTCGAAACAAAGAAAAAAACAAGAGAGAAGAGATTTTTACCCATTCGATCAACGACGTTCACAGTGTTGGAAGGCTTAGTTTGTGAATTCAACCGTTGAGAAGGAAGAGAAGACGATGTATAATAACATATCTGAAAATGGTGGCGATCCAACGACGGACGACGGTAGATCAGAGATAGAAAAATCAAACGGTCTTTGGCTATTTCACGACAAACGGCACCTCTTCTCGCAAAACAGCCCCTGGATCCAAGACGGGGAGGCTGATATGGATCTTCGGGTTAAATTTGGTGGCTAACAGCCACCGTCAAAGGCGACGACGCGATGGTCGACGGGTGGTAAGTTATCGGCGATCACTGGTTTTCTAGAGAGAGTGGAGACCCTCTCTCTCTAAAATCTATTTTAAGAAAAAATGAAAAAAAAATTGATATTTATAGAAAACTTTAGGAGAAATTGCACTTAGGTCCCATAAGTTTGGCTTGTTTTGCAAAATGGTCAACTGAAGGGACCGTTTTTATAGTTTACCCATTTCTTATGCATGCCATATATTTTTGGTTTAATTGTTGTTTAGTCCCTATATGTTAGGCGTGTTTTATATTTTAGTCTCTGAATCCTTATGTTTTATTTATTTTATTTTTAGCACTTTAGTTTTATTATTTTCAATTTAATCACTAACATGTTATATTTTATGTTTTATTTTTTGTAATTTTGGCATTTTACTTTCTGTTTCTTTTGTTTTAGTCACTAAGTTTGACTTTGTGTTGACTTTGATTTTATTTCCAGTTTAATCCCTATGTTTTGACAATATTAAGTTTTGGTCTTGTAATTATTACATAATAGGGTATGTAATTTAATTTTATTTTGTTTTAATGCTCATGTTATATGGTGTTTGTATATTAGCCATGACTTGTTATATGTTTATTATTATACCTCTAAAATTTGTTGTTCTTGCTATTTAGTCCTTATTTAATATATATATATATGATTGGATTTTTTTATTTGTATTCTAATTCATCATGTTTGTAAATGATCACTTGTGTCCCTAATATGTATGCATGAGTATATCTGATGTTAATCTTTAACCTTACATATTTATGTATATATTTGTTAGTTATTATAAATACTTATTTATTAACTAAATTTTAATCGAATGTTTTCCAAGAACAACGATTTGTAGAATGGGTGTGGAAAGCATCACTTGATCGAAGTGGTGTAATTCGATACGACATTCAAACAAAATGTGAACTTCAAATAAAATTGATTTTATTTTGTTAATTAATTCTTTTTATTTTAAGTTGAACAATGCAATGCATGTTGCTAAATGACGATTTATTTTATGCCAAAACATCGATTTTCCATTTATATTCGATTCGCGTTTTTTAAATCATTGAGGAAATATTCTTTTACTGATAAGAAATAGACGATATAGTTTTTCCTACGGAGGATTGCTAATTTCGAGGTTTCTTTTCGAGTTAAAGAATTTCTCCAAACAATAAATGATTCGAAGCATCTCAATAAATAGATCATATTTTAACTTTATATTCAATTCATGATTTCCACCATTTACGACTAAGTGTAAGCGACACAATACCAATATTGGGCGTTGTGGGGTGCTAATTCTTCCTCGCGCGTAACCGACTCCCAAACCCATTAAATTAGATTGTTGGTATAATACCAGCTTTTGTCTTAAAAACGATTTTTCCTTAAAATTGTTTTAAAAGAAGTTTTTAGGTATTCGGCCTACCTAACTTAAAGGTCAATGACGACTCATTTTTCATTTTATTCAAATCAATTCCAAATCATCAATTTTTCAAAATTAAAGTCATAACCGTTTTTAAAATAATATTTAATTATTTTTCCAAAAAAATGGTTATGACAAAACATCACACGTCTTCCTTTTTTTTACACTTTTACCATACCCTACTGTAAATTCTACAAGTAAACAAGCCCTTATTCAGTTGTATTTCACATTCTATTCAAGATTTTACTAGTATAGTACCATTCCAATTATGAAGAAGATATCATATACCTGATATGTCTTTGGCCCCTTCTTAAGAAGATAGCCTACACTGTTTAAGTTATCCACAAATGTGTCAACATCAGGAACTTTTATGCCTATTCTATCTGCCAAACTGTAGATTTCCTGGAATAAAAATTTAAATGGATACCAGTGATTTCCTTTAAAGAGAATATAGTTACTTGGTAGACCAACTTTGAGAAGATTAAGTTTGTACAGATATGGAGAAGCAATCTTTCTGCTGCAACTCTGATTGCTTGTCCAGAGCACTTAGAAACCGCTTCGCTTCTTTTTGTTGACTCATTCCCCCACTCCGAAAATCCACAAATCCATGCTCATCAACATACTTATCGTACAGCAATTCTTTCATTATTTCAACTGCATCCTGCAAAATTAACATAACCCACATCAACATTTTTTTAATGATCTTAGTGAATTGGATTAAAACAAAACATTAATAACAGTAGTAAAATCAAATTATAAGCTAAATCCTCAAATTGATTATAGTACAAAGATGGAAATTATGATTTAATCGGTATGCAGATATAAACCTCCAAATCCTAATACCCATGTTGAACATATACTCATCTAACACTCTCAAGCAGGATAAAAGTTAAATCAATGTAAGTTATTCATTTAGACGATAATAGCCGAGTGGCCATTATCAAGTTATCCTCTCTACCTGCCTAACCTAGAAACCAAGGAAAACTAAGCCTCTTACCTTAGCATCTTGAGCTGTTGTTTCTTCCCTCAACTCCACTCGTGCTCGAGCTTGTGCCAGTCTCACCAGACTCTCCAATTGTCTCGCTGTTATAGGTGTACCATCACCAGATGTACTACGGTCTCTAAGTTGTAAGTAGAATTTTTGCAGGATTTCCGCAGCTGGTTTTGACATTCTGATTGCCATAAAAGCAAAGAGATAATGATAAAAGAACAAAAACTGCTAAGGCGGGCAAATGAATGTTGAAGGCGGAGATCTCTTCCAATCACCTGGGGAATACATAAGTTCCTACATAAGCAATATATTTCCGAATAAGTGCACCAGGCAATGGGACAAAATCAGCATCCTTTTTAGGGTCAAGTCTCAGCCTAGAAACTAAAGAACATTCTTTCACGCTCATACTTATTGTTTCAACGATTTTTGATGCTACATTTATAAAACAAAAAGCGTTTCTTGTTAGATTCTCTTTCTAAACTGGACGACTAGCATGCATAAGCAACACTTTTTTTCATAACGATGATAGAAAAAAAAGAAGAAAGAAACCTTTAGCTATACGTGGCTTTTTCACTGCTGGTGATCTTTCTCCATATCCGGCATGAAGCTGCAACATAGATACAAGGGTAAATGACATTTTTCTTTATAAAATCTTGGCTCAGGCTTATAAACCTATATACAATGTTGCTAATAAGCTATTTGTTGTTACGAGGTACAAAAGTTGAAGGATATATATATAAATTTACTCACAGGAATTCAACAATATAAAGGGTCCAGCCTAGATTACTTACCGACATTATGTGCTCCGAAAGTCGCTTGTCCAGCAGCTCATCAGGTTTATCAAGCAATATGAAAACCAAATCAAATCTAGAGAGCAAAGCTGCACTCATTTTCAAATTTTCATTGACTGTTTTCGCTCGGCTGCAGTTGGATATTGGTTTCATTAATTATCAACAGATAATACCAGTGAAATCACTTGAGAACAACAGCACAAAGTAAAACGAACAGAAAATGTACTAGTCTACAGAATAGACTGTACTAGTCTACAGAATAGACTATGTAAAGAAAGCTGACTCTTGATGAAGAATATAGCTGATAAGTAGATTTTGGCCATCCCAAGAAAAACTATCAGAGTGTAAAAATAAAGGGAAAACACAATAATAGAATTCACAAAGTATTACTTATAGTGACCACCAACAGGATTTGCTGCTGCTAAGATAGATGTTCTAGCAGATAAACTTGCTACCAGTCCAGCTTTTGCAACAGAAACGCACTGTTGTTCCATTGCTTCCAGTAAAGCCTGGTGCGATTGTGATGTAGGCAAAGCATGGATACTTAGAGGTAAAATGAAAAATAAAGTAGTCAAGAGGGACCTGATGTTCAGCAGACATTTTATCAAACTCATCTATGCAGCATAGTCCACCATCTGCAAGTATCATGGTTTTTGCAGCAAATGTGTTTGTTACAAGAATAAATATAAAATCTTATCTTTCCACTGTAAATCTGATGTAGATCAGTCCAATATTTGTCTGGTTCATAGGTGGAAAATACATTTGAATTGAGCTAGTGCATACCCATCAAACAACTAGGTTGATACATCGAAGAGAACAAAATAGCATGTATCAGCTTTCAAAGGAGAGAAAGAGTCAACTACCTGCCTCGAAAGCTTAGTCACTTGTTATAGTGTCCTTCACTACAGATACAGTTAGACCAGCATTGGTAGTTGCATTGCCACTAACATATATTCCGCGTGGGGAAACAGCAGCTGCTGCTGCTTGCAATAATTGACTCTTCCTCAGACCTGGATCGCCTGGTAAAATAGTAGTAATTGTTAAGAATCAACATATCGTGTTTATCTGCAGAAATTTAAAAGGATGATCCGGCTGATTACTGGATGATAATCTGACTATAAAAGAAGCAGATAAAAATAAGCATACCGACAACAATGACATGGATGTCTCCTCGGACTGGAACCTTATTCCGATCCATTGAATGTTTCCATACACCACCAAACAATGCAAAGTTATTCCAGCTGTTGATAAAGTCAATATATTCACATAAATACAAGATCACATAATTAATTGAGAAATATTTGACCATGTCTGTCCATGTGTCACACTAATTGTGATACTTGGTAGTTGGCATGGGGTATAAATAAAGCAAATTTACAGATACAATTATATACAATGGGTTGGTGGCATGGTAGTCTTTTAGTGGGGGGGATGCAGGTGCCACAAAATAACAACAGTACATAATGGATTAGCCAATTTTTTTACCATTTTAGATGACAACTTCGACTAAGTTCCCTCGTTCAAATTCAAGGTTTACCTTTAACATGCTCATGTCCATAGATGGATGGACATATGGATTGAAGTAGGGTTTCAAAAAAACGTTCCGCGACCATGATTTCGTCCGCGATATAGCGATTTTGCCGCCGTCCGAGTTACCCGTTGCATCTGCAATAGCGCCCGCGACGGCCGCAATCACGTTAAAACCGAAATAACCGAAAACGCGACAGCGACCGCAATTTGAAACCCTGGATTGAAGTATTTGGCGAAAGACATCTGAACCATGCTCTTCTCGAAACTTCACAATAAATTCCAAATCCATTGGAGAGAAAGAGAACAAATCTACTAGCTCTGTTGGCCTAGCATCACTGTTTGAATCTTCCAAATCTTCAGTCATAGATAGCAACTTGGAATTTTTCACAAAAACTGCTTCTATGTACAGATAGTAAAATCCTTGATTTCTGCCTTTGAATTTTCCTGAAAAGAATCAAAGTTTTTTTCCCAAACTATATTACTTGCGGAAAACTGGTAGGTGTAAGCAAGTCTATGATTCATTCCATCCCAATGTACTGATGTCCCTTTATGTTCTCAAATCACAATCTCAACATTCGTAAAATTCCAAGTTTATATACAATGGCAATAACTAGAAGGTACATTATTAGTATTGCCTCTTCCAATGAGATATTGTTTGTAAAGCTATTTCAAATTCCATGATAAACTAGTGATAGGGGAATTTATTTATGTACCTCCTCCAATATCCATGTAATTGTTGATAACTCTTATAATTCCAGTGACTGTTACCACATCTCCAGGGATGCACACATCAACAAGATCTTCGGTCAATTCACATTCTACTGTTCGAGGTACACGACCTTCTTCATGATCCTCGGACTTCAGTAGCTCCTGTAACCTGAAATTTGTGTAAACAATAAAGGTGAGAAGCCAGTTGTTTTTTTAATATAATGGACTGTTATTTAGATGTGCGGCTATACAATTGCGCATTAAGTTGTTTACCTTATCTTCTGAAAGTCTATTGCTTGAGCTGAGGATCGAATTTGTTTGAACGTTCTACTCTTGCAGCCATGTAAAGTACATGCCGATGGTGTTGAAAATTTTCCATCAGGATATAGACATTCATTTTCGTTAGACTTTATGATTTTTTGTTTTTATATTTATAATATATAGAATATATGATAATATATAATATATAGTTTTGTCAAACATATAATATATAGTTTTTGAAAATATATAGTATAGTTTTTAAAAAACATATTGTTATATAGTTTTGAAAACTTATAATATATAGTTTTGAAAACTTATAATATATAGTTTTTAAAAAACATATGTAATATATATATATTTGAAAACATACTATATGATTTTGAAAATATAATATATTATATAGTTTTTAAAATATATATATTAAGCTTATTATTATTCTTATTTATTTTCATTTTTATTTTTTTTCATTTTTATTTTTTTTCATTTTTAGGGTCCAAATTCAGTCTAGAAATGGGGCCCAACCGAAGCAAGCCTGACCCAGCAAGCCTGGTGGGAGGCCCAAGCCTGCCTGCCTGACCCAATAGGGGTTAGGGTTTCGCGTCAAACAAGGTTGTCGCATGGGGAGATCAAATAGCGTGCGTGGAGGCCACGCGCCGTATGGGTTCGAGAGATGGACGAAAATTTCGGCCCCTGAAACTGCAAAACCACAAATCAGAGCAAAATTCGAACTACAACGACATCCCGAGAGAATTGACACGCCCAAATATCGACGAAGTCGGGATTACAACACCCGATCCAAGGAACAACTCATTTCCTGAGGCTATAAAAGGCCATCGATGGAGCATTACAGGACAAGGAGACAACAGAGAAAACCACGGCAGAAATCAAGTAAATCGTAGCCACAAAAACAACCAAGTAACATTTGGCCAAGAGAAATCGAAAGCAATCACACAGCAAAAAAAAAACAAATACCATTTGAAATAGCATAAATAAATCCCAAGGAGGTGGGGCTAACGTCGATTTAGGCTCGGATAAGGCAATAATTGCTGGGAAAGCTCGCCGAAAAAGGTATAGCCGAAATGTTTTTTAGATCTACTCCGTTTGGGGCTTATTTCGGGTACTTGGGCTTAGGTTTTGTGTTCGGGGTGTGGAGATGAAGCTTTTGAGGTAGGCTTTTGGTTTTTCAGTCATCGGAACGACAGTCAAGGTGGCGGGTGGTCACCGGTGGCCGGCCGGCTTTTGGCCGGTTAAGGGAAAGGTTGAGAGGGTTTGAAAGAGGTTGGGAGAGTTTTTCTTTTTTTTTAAATGGGTTAAAATTATTCTTTTTTTGGGATTTTTGAACTATTTATAAGGAAGGTCTCATTGCAATTACCAAATAGTTAAATTATTTCCACAGTCCCTATACTTTTGATGCGTAATTCATTTTGGTCACCTGTTGTAAATTCACCCTTGAATTTTGAATTAATTCAATTTAATCCTTGCTTATATTTCTTATATTTAGCAATTTGACCCCCTAACTTCTTATTTTCTTCTTGCAACTTTTAATTAATTTCAATTTGATCCTTGATTTTTAATTCTTTTTAATTTGGTTCTTTTAATTTTTTTTATTTATTTTATTTTTATTTTATTATTTCACATTAGTTTGATTTATTTTTAGGTCAATTTCAAAAATTCTTCGAAGCTAAGTAATCCGGATTGAACTTTTAAATTTTAATTTAACTTTTAATTTTTGCAATTAAGATAACCGGAAAATTAAATTGGTACCGAAAGGGCAGTAAAGGGTATTAATCCTTCCTTGATTGTAATCGACTCCCGAGTTTGATTAATTTCTGGTAAAATACAGATCAGGTAAATGGTAAGGTAAGGTGTCCGGTCAGCCTAGTTTCAAATGATCGGTGGCGGCTCTAACACATTAAATTTAAGTTGGAACCTGATTCTAGGCCCACCCGAAGGACTGTTACGATAGCTCGGCGACTCTGCTGGGGACAGGTAAGATAGTCGGGTAAAAATTGATTTTCGATTGTCTTCTTAGGCAAAAGTTGTAAGTATGAATTATAATTTTTCTTTTCGATCCTTGTAATCTATCTTTGATTATTATTTTTCAAATAAATAGTTGTACTGATGTTTTTCAATGATTTCAGCTTTTTTTTCAAAAATCATTCATCTCAAGCTCTATTCCCGAGCTCCAAACCCTTTTTAAGTGGGGGTGAAAGCAACACCTTCGTGGGAATTTATTCCCGTATAGGCCTAGCAAGTAACCTTCGTGATTCATATACCTTATGTCTTCATGTGAATATATTCTTAGTACAGACATAAGGGAATGTATCATCTCGAGTTTAACTCAGTCCACATGAGCCTATGATGGGGCTTAGGATTGAGGGTCTGGCAGGCCTAAGGAGACACACCAGCAAGAATAACTCGGGTACCTCTTTTAGAACAAAAAATGGGATGCTGCAAGGAATTAGAGCCCACCCCAAAACTCTATTTCAAAGCCTAAGATGTTTTGATTTATTTCCTGTTTTATTTTCTGTTCAAAGCATGTGAATTAAAAATATATGTGATTATGATTTATTCAAGAAAATAACATGCGAGATAGAGATCATAGGAATAAAAGCATGTGGGGTGGGAATTTTTTATTTTATTACTATTTTGATTATTATTACTATTTTTACTAACTTGTTTCCTTTCATTTTTTTGTTTTATTTCCATCTTTATCATTTGCATCATTTAAAGAGGTGTTGATCTACAAAATTGTTCCTTTAAACCTGAATAGTTGGCATTAATGGACAAAGCGGTTACAAAGCAAGAGGTCAAGAATGCATAAGTACGACTATGGTCAGAAAAGACTCAAAAGGAAGAAGGGGACAGTCTGCAAGTGTCAGATCTGGCTGGCTACGCTTCCGTGAGCCTTAAACAGAATGATACATAAGAGTTGCGGAACATTTGGGACAGTTGGAAAAATGACAGAAAATAGAAGTTTTGCTAGTGATACGGTGATATCGCACACCTGCTCCACGTCAAGATAGACAAACCTTTAATTTGAGCCCTGGTGCAATTTTGGAATCCGGGGTATAGCTGCTTCACCTTCAACCAAGAAGACATGGTGCCCACAAATGAGGAGTATACTACTCTGTTACACTGTGAAGGAATTAGAGTAGATAGAGTATTCATCAAATATATCAAGAGTCAACCTTTTAAGAATGGGTTGGCAAAGGTTGTAGGGGTCGACGAAAAGTGGGTAACTGACCGAATTCAACAAAAAGGCAAATTGAAAGGAATTGCTTGGACTCACATCAAGCAATTAATGAAGAATCGTCCTGACGAATGGAAGGTGATTGATCTTTTTGCACTCGGTATTTATAGCTTGGTTAACTTTTAAAAAACTTTGGGATACATTAGGCAATTGTGGTGGAATTATTCGAACAATTGCCAAAGCGAGTGAATCCTGTACCAGCAATCCTAGTTGAAACTTTCCGCTCACTAAACCATTATAGAAGGACTGGTGGAAGAGATTTTATAGGATGCACACAACTACTCCAAGTTTGGATCAATAGTTATTTTTGGGAAACTGGTGGGATTTCTTACCGCCGGTTCAATACGACATATTCACCATTGGACGAACTCCTTACACAAAAATGGTGAGAAGGCATTCCAAAGGAAATGTGGGTGAAGATATTCATGCATCTCCAGGACAAAGACATTGTACGGAGAGCCCCTTGGCTAACTCATAGTGACATTCTATATCGGTGTGGAGATTCAGGTGTAGTAATGTTACTCGGGCTATGGGGAGGAGTTGGTTATTCTATGCTTTTAGCACTTCGGTAGTATGAGGAACGCCAGTTTGTCCTAGTTAGACACGAGATATCTGGATCCGAATTCACATATCATGAGGATAATTACAAGAGAAAGGTGAAAGATATAGTCGAGTCTTTGAAGAAGATTTTATGTATAGATGTTGTGGCTGCTAAAGACATGCTTACTCCAGACTATATGGAATGGAGGAAACTGAGAAAGAATGGCATTGTTCCCACACATATCATGAAGACACTCAGACCATTGAAGAGAATCTTAAACCAGTACCATTTGTGCTGGAGATAGAAAAGAAGGAATTTGAAGCTGAAAAAGAGGAACTGAAACAAAGACTAAGGGAGTTAGAAGCTGAAAAATTCCAACGGAAGCTAGATGTTGATACTAAAAAAGATCGAGCATAAAAATTAGAAAAAGAATAGAAGAAAATCTGTTTTGAGTTGGAAGATTTGAGAAAAGAGTATCAAAAGCATATCCAGTAAAATACAAGTCTAAAAAGATCTTTCGAGTATTGGAAAGACGAAGACGACAGCCTGAAAAGGAAATTTGAATGACAAGATGCCAAGTTAAAGACTTCCCAAAGATAGTTATCAGAAAGTCAACACCAGAACAAGCGGTTGAAGACCAATGTAATTGATTTGGAAAGATCCATTCAAAACCAGCAGGAACAGGATGGAAAAACTATAGTTGAATTGGAGGTCATCGTGGATAAGTTCAAGAAGTAGGCAAATGAGCTCCAAATAGTTCCTTTTGATGAAGGATTCCAATGGCATTTTCGTTGGGAACAATCTCAGAAAAGGGTTGAGGCTAGAGATGCAGTCATTCAAGACTTCTTAGAGCAGGTACAAAAAGTGACACGCCACTTGCATTGTTTGGCAAGAAAACCCGAGGTGGTTCGACAAGGTATTCAGCCAGTGACAGAAGAAGCAAGAAGACTTCTCAACTTATTAGATGTCGTTTGGGGTCTAGAAGATCTAGCTAGAATGTATCTTTGAATTTTTTGGTCTCTTAGAAGTAACATTTTTGTCCCAATAAAGACTATTTCTAATAGCAGACACGTTTTGGATCAATTCCTCAAAAATTTCATGCATCATGCATTTTTGCATATTTGTTTGCATTTTCATTTCTTTAAATTCAAATTAACTAAAAAATATCTCATCGAGAAAAGGAAAAAACACTGGACACACCTCATCAAGCATTGGACGCGCCTCATCCTCATAATACTCGTTCAACGAAGAAGAAGAATGAAGCTAAGATCTCTAAGCTTGAGGAAAAGATGCTAAAATTGCAAAAAGAGCTTGAGGAGAAAATAAGTCAGAATAATCAAAATTCCTTGGATTCTATCACTAGGAACCAAGAGTCACTGGTTGATCACATCGTTGCAAAGTTGTCTGGCCTAAATCAAATAAGTTCCCCTAGGGCAGGAGCATCCGAAGGGGTGATTGCACTACCCACTCTGCAGTTGGTTATCTCACCTAGAATCTTACCAGAACTTCAAGGGGACTCATCTTCTGCAAAAGCACAAGCTTCATCTGCTGCAAAAGAGCAAGCTTCGTCTGTTGCAAAAGCACATGCCTTTGTAACCAACCCCTAGAATAACTCGGATGATTTGGAAGATCAAATGAAGTCAGTTAGAGGAGATGATAGTTATTATGGAGTTGACACTCTGGAACTAAGTTTGGTCCCAGATTTGATTGTTCCTCCTAAGTTTAAAGTCCCAGATTTCGAGAAGTTCGATGGGAATAGTTGCCCCTCAGCTCACATTACCATGTTCTGTCGAAAAATGACAGAATATGTCGGGAATGACCAGCTCTTGATTTACTGCTTCTAGGAGAGTTTAGTAGGTTCAACCATCCGATGGTACAATTAGCTGAACCGTTAACATATCAGGACGTGGAAAGATCTCACCAAGTCGTTCTTGGACCAATACAAGCATGTAAATGACATGAGACCATATCGTATCATGCTACAAAGTATGGAGAAGAAGCATAATGATATTTTTAGGCAGTATGCATAACGATTGAGGGATTTAGCCACGCAAGTTCATCCACCTCTAGATGAGAAAGAAACAAGGAAGCTCTATATACACACTTTGAAGGCTCCCTTATATGGGCATTTAATTGCAATCACATCAAAGAACTTTTCTGATCTAGTTATGGTCGAAGAAATGGTGGAGACGACAATAAGACAAGGAAAGATAGAAGAAGGTGACTCAAGCAGAATACCTCCCATGAAGAAGAGAGAATGAGAGATCAACAACATCAACACTTTTAACACCAACAAAAGTGTTACGATCTCTAAATCAAAACCAACTGCATTTGTACCATCAGGTACTTCTATACAAGATTCAAGGGAACCAATGAGAGAAAGAGAAAATGAACATTTCTATCATATTCCCATGACGTATAAGGAGCTTTACTAGTAACTTTTTGATACACATGTGGCGTAACCATATCCAGTGGAACCTCTGAAGCCCTCATACCCTAAGTGGTACGATGAAAATGCCTATTGTGAATATCATGGTGGTGTCCCGGGGTAAGCTAATGAAAATTGCCTCGCATTCAAGAAAATTATTCAACATATGCGCAACAGAAACTAGATTCATTTCAACAACTCATAATCACCCAACGTAGTACAAAACCTTTTGCCTAACCACCAAGATTATGGGTTTAACACAATCATCTAGGAGAGAGGCAAGAGGATTAAGACAAGTGTTTCTGAGGTGAAATCTCATCTATCTTGGGTATAGAGGCAAATGGTAAGGGCAGGATTTCTCGCGCCATATTTTAGCATACTAAAACACAAGGGTGATAACCATTATTGTTATCACAATGAAGAAGGAAATGATGTACAAGAATGTTTCGAATTTAAAACTTTGATCCAGCTAATGAGGGACAAAAAAGAGATGGAATTCTATGAGGAAAATAAAGACACTCCAAAGGCCGATGTCTGTGCGATTAGAGATTCATCTGACAAAGGATACGTGTAACACCCCAACCCGTATCTGACCCAAATACGAGTTTTAGATGTCACATCGACCTTTCAAATAATTTATTTTTATAAAATAGAGGAAAAATTCAGACTTGATTTAAACATACTAAATAATTTACATACATCAAATCAAAGAGTTTACAAAAACTGATCAGAGTTTATATTATTTCATCATTTAGGTACATGCCAACGTTATATATTACAACAAAGAAACATACTGATAATTTCTTCTGATCTGATCTCCGATGATGTTATGTTGTCTCCTCTACCTATATTCTCTTTGATGCTTCTCGGATCTTACGTGTGAGTCACACGCTAAGTCACAAACTTAGTGAGACATGTAAACGAATAATATAAACTATAACTACTTAACGATACATATACATTTCCTATAACAAAATGCTTATATACACATATATCATCCTTATTATTACTAATACTCTTATCATTAATCTTTATAATCATATATTTTTATACTAGCATTATTAACCATCACATGACTCATTTAGCTGAACAATACACAAAATATTACATAATTCCTGTAATACATTTCATATCACAAAGCATATAACTCACATACAATGTATTTGTTTTATCTTTCTTTATTAGCCCATGTATACTTCTGAGAACTAAAGATATGTGAGTATATTGAGGTTATGCACATATGCTATCACCACAGCTCGTATAAATTCCCACTAGGGGCACATAGAATTTGTCCCGAATGACCACATAGAAATCTCTTTAAGAACCACATATATATTCCAAATGACCAAATATATGTCTCGAAGAACCGCATATATTTTCCAAAGGATTACATATATGTCCCAAAAGACCACGTAGAATCCTCGACTCTTGGCATGCCAACTATACTCCTAGCTCTCATATCACATAACATGGACATTATCATTTATGTCCTTTCACATGTTCATATAAGCACGTAGATCACTTACACGTAGAACATTTTCATATAATTCACATTCATATGTCACATGGCTTATATCTTGTTCTTATGTCTTCTCATAGACATATATTCACATATCTCTTGTCACGTGTCTTATATCTTATGATCATGTAATCATATAACTTATTATCACATAGATTATCTCATTTCTCACCTTAATTACATAAGTCAATGATATCAGTTCACATGGTTTATCATACATACATGCATTCACATAGATCATGTATAGAGATACACTCAACATCTAGATATATACATACATTCATGTACATATAAGCATCATAGTACTACCTAATTGTATTTGTGTACTCATGTAATCTAATATCGAAATTAGACTCATCGC